AATAGTGATCAAATAGCATAGAAAAATAGAGCGAAAGACGCTCTATCTATTCATAAAAAAAAGAAAATTTTTTCAAGCTTTCTATAAGAAAAAATAGTACCTCCCTCACTACTTTTGGATAGCCCTACGTAGTTTAATTATACGGAATCTATACAACCGAGCGTAGTGGTCACAAATATCATATGTAAAATTCAAACAAACCTTCTCTTTATTGAGAGCAATAGTTTTTAATGCATTATGGCGTCACCTAGATTTTGAGAAGTTTTATTTCAATCTCATCCTCACTTTAATACAGAATTTAGAACTCAAGAAACGGATATATCCAATAGATATATTCAAAAACGTTTGCTCATGCAGAAACTGCGCTAAAACTCATCTAAGAACATGTTCAAGGGTTAAAAAATCAAGATAGAGACTAGAAATTTTGAAAGACCCTGTGTTATTACTTTCATTTGTATTTTATCAGCACTGCCTTCCAACAATAATTCCACACTTTTCATAGTCTATCGATCTGTCGAATTCAAATCGAATGGTTCAAAGTTGATGTGCGTGCGTCTTGATTCGACATGGCAACGAATCAGTCGAAGATGGGAAATTTTTGACACGCTTATAGATCTAGACACCGTTATCAATTTAAAAAGTTTGTGGAAAACAAGCGCTATCCTCTTAAAAAAGCCTGTTTTCTAGCTTGAAAAATCGTTCAACCGAGGTATTTGCACTGCACCGGCACATGGAAAGTGTTTTACTGATATACTGATCCTTTATCTTGATTTTTTTAACCCTTTAACGTGTATTGAGATACATTTTAGCATAGATTCTGAACAAGAAAACGTTTTCGAATATATCTTATGTGATATGAACCTTGAGTTTTATATCCTTTAAGATGATGGTGGAATAACACTTCGCAAGATCTAGGTGACGCCACAGTGAAAAAAACTAATGTTAGCGTGAATCGCGTTTTATTTTAAAATAAAAAGACGTCAAAAACTGTTTTACAACTTCTGTTACATATCAACTTCTTTAGAATCTTTTAAAATATTTTTAAACTAAACTTTGATCTAAAGTTCTAGCTGTCATTTGGCTTTTTTGCTGTGGGTGAAAGTCTTTTTTCTTCTTGAAATTATTTTTTCAAATGAATGAGTACTCTCTCTCGACTGGAAATTTAGGAGTATAATTTTCTTTTCACACAAATGTCAACAAGAATGTCGTTCTTGCCCTTCACAGCACTATTTCCTCTAATATCGTGATATCTCACATTGTTTTTTCAGATTAACAAACGTTTACCATACAGACTTTAAAAATTTCTAGGGAAGAAGGAGAAAATTTTCAGGGACGAGAAATTTCGTTCCTTCCCTCCTTTGATCGTATGCACTGCTAAAGTTCTCTATTTAAAAAGTTCAATTTACATTTTTCACACTCCAGCACACTAGGAGCTCAGAGAGAAATTGTTCGACTTTTGCACCGTATGTTATTTGTCTCATTGAACTATCAAGGTTACTTATCATTATTATTCTTTTCATGTTTATATTTGACAATGAAATATTTCACTTACACACGTATCAATCATCTTCTATTCCACTGCGATTGACGTTTTTGATTTTTTTCGTTATTTTTATTTAAAGTATAGTTTTTATATAGTTGTATTCATAACACGTTTGGTTTTTACATGTTAAATATGATTAACGAAACAAAATGAAAGAAACTAAAAATTAAGAATAATTAATGTATGTGTTAGACAACATTGATCTAATTTAGTAATCAAAGTATTAACAAACTCGGTCTTTTTTTCTTTGCTGTATGTCTCCATAATGTACGGTTCTCTAAACATTGTAAATTCTAAAAACTACTTTTCATGAAAAACAATCGTATTCTAGCGATCCTCTGGCTAATAAATTCCGTCCTTCTCTCCCATCTTACTGCATATTAGAATACTCTTTAAAGTGGACACTTTTTCAAATGCTAATTCTAGCAGATTCAAGTTTAAAGTATTGGTTTGTAATCTGATTCAAAACAAATTTTGTGCTGTTAATGAACATAAAGTTATCATTTCTTCCATTAATATTGTAAATATTTCTACTAGTTTAATGATGATTATTTTCAAGTAACTTCGATATGAAGATATGCACATATTCGAATAGTCCAAAATGTCTAATTTCAGAATTTGTATTAAGTTTAGTGCCATCTTCTTCATCTTTCTAAAAGCTATGTAAAGGATCTGTGTTTTTCAAAGAAAATACAAGGAATTTCAGTTACAAATTATACAGAATTTTATATTCTGGCATTCGTATTGTATAGAACTGAAACATTTTTTAGGAGAATACTATTACGCATCTCAATAATTCTTTTTTTTGTTTGAAATATCTAACAAATTGACGAGAATGCATTATATCAAAATTAACTGTTAATTTCAATAAAGCTGCAGAATTTGATAGTTAATTTTTTCAAACATTAAGTTCAAGTAAAGGAATTGAAAAACTGTTTTCATCATTTTTTAGACCTATGTAACTGGTTTAATTTAAAGTAAACTAAAGTAAACTTTAAAGAAACTATTGCCACTCCTGAGATTTTAGAATCGTATTTATTGCTTCATTTTGACCCTGGTAACATATATAATTCTTGAATGGCTGAAACAAAATTGCTATGCAAAGATAATTAAGAGTAACAACAAAATATAGGCCGAAAAGACAAAAATTGAAAGTTCAAAAAATAGCAACAAAAGAAAAAACAGATATTATAAATCGTTTTCGAGAAAACATACACATCGAAAAATGTCAATAAAAAAAGAAATAAACGTTTCTAACTCAAAAAAACAGCTATTCATAAAAAAAAGAAGAAAGAATTAAAGTACCAAAAACAAAAGAAGGAAATATAAATAATTTCTCGAATATAAAATTACTTTTATCAATTTGAGATAGTTCGCTAATACTAAAAGAGATGATTTGAAAACGCTATGCTTAAACTTTTGAGATGAAATCTTTAAACAACTGTCATTTAATTCAATCACCGTTCGATCCTTGTTCTCCAAACCGGTTTTCTCTGACAAAAAAAAATGCGATTTAGCTTCTATGATGAGCAAAACGTACCAGTTTTGGTTAGTTTCTGCACAAGATACGAACCTCATAAGTTAGAAACCAGCTTCTTCGCAATCTAGAGATAGAGTAACCGCTTCACTACTATGAGTGAAGCCTTAGCATATGCGTCTAAACTGAGATTTTCATTTGTCCCAAAAGTACTTCTCAGTTATGGTAAGTAAGACAAGGGACTTAACGAAAAACCTGAGTATTTTAGAATGACAAGAAGAAGACAATCAAAAATAATTCACCTGAGAGAGAGAGAGAGAGAGAGAGAGAAAGAAGTATAGCAAAATTAAAATGCTTCAAAAAGATGTTCTCTCGACAAGTAAAGTAACATAGAGACACTACTAATATGGGATTTTTGTTTCTTTTATTTCTGTTTTATACAATATGGTTTTATTCTTTATTTCAACTAAGCTCGTCTAATACGGAAAGAGAACTAAACGACTTTTTTATTGAAAATATAAAACGTCTAGGTATTTTTTTATCTACCTGAAATACTTAGTGAGTGTGTGTACGTGAGTGTGTAAAAAGTTGTTGTTTCTTTATTATATTGCACATAAATCTCATCTAATATAGGAGCATTTTTACACATGATACATAAAACATATCTCAAGCTCTCTCTGATTTATAAAACAAATGCATATATGGGAAAGCAGATAGTACAGAAACACAAACTAATAACAACAAAAAATTTTGTATTATTTTACGTATAAAATGTAAAAAATTGCGTAACAACTCTTTAAAAATATATATGTACACATACCCCCTATGTTCAGTTTCAAAATTGTTTCAATGCGTGCGTAGTTCTTATACATATTGTGTTCGATAAATTGGTAAATTGTAGACACGTTGTGCATTGAACACATCAGTAGTTCGACGACAATTGAAATATTTAAAAGCATTCTCATTCTGTTGATTAGACCATGATTCAAACATCTTTCTGTTATCACGATTTGGATAAATTTCAAATGGTTTAGATGATAAAATCGATGTAGTAACACGTTTGTTGTTGTCAATCGAAAATGGAAATGGTGATGATTGATCATCTTTCATAGCGTTAGGAGAAACAGATAGTAAACGAGGTAGAACAGTATCATCAACTGGAACGTTTGAATATGTTTTTGATGATTTAATTCTTATCCTAAAAAGTAAATGATTCCTACATGAAATACTTATCACTATCTGAACTTCTCTTCGTCATACCTTCGACTTAGACGTGTTTGTGCTGTTTTTTCTGAATGTCGAAGATTTGTTGTTATTTTTTGTTCCATTTCATCATCGTGTGTTCGCGCTTCACTAATATCATGAATAAAATGACAACGTGGTCCATCTAAAACATATTCAAATGTTGAATAGTGATGTTGAATGATAGACTGATGAACGAATATACTCACACGGACAATACCCAGTTGTATGAAATGTTCGACAATATTCTGTTTTATATTTTGGATGACGTGTTAATTGCCGCATTTCTTGAAATCCATGAGCAAATTGACATTTTTCACCATATTTACATTTTCCAGTTTCATTAAAGGGACGGCAAAGTTCTGTTTTATATCGAGCAATACTTGTTACACTATTGGAACTATTAACGGTATTTGAATCTGATGATTGAGTACGCCAATCTCTCGGTGAAGATAATGAAGATGAGGAAGAGGTAGATGACGAAAAGGAATCGAATTCAGGCATTAGTCTTGAAAATAGCACATCTATAATTCAAAAGATTTAATTTCTATTATCATTTATGGCCTTAGAAGAAGAGAGTGATATGATTAAAAAAAAATGAATGTTCTCCTCTATAGTAATTTTCTATGGATCAATACAGTATATACTCACTGATAACGTTTTTGTGGTAACGATCATAAATTTAATAAAAATTGAACATAGCGTTATAAATTTCTTACCGTTGTTCACATATTAATTAATTGAGCTTAAAGATAAAACTATTCATTTTTATTATAACTTTTGAACTAAACAAATTTTTTTGTTTTTTTTGCTGCTGGTAAATTTAACATATATCACAGTATGTGTGCATGTGGATATAAAATAAGAATGATAATAAAAGAAGACAAAATGAGGAAAAAACGGATTTTTAAAAGCTACAGACTGTGACTGTGTTAAAATAGTATTGTTTTCTTCCTGCATACAGTTACAGTTTTTCTATGTTTAGATATCAATACAAAGAACAGTGCCTTTTTTTACCTCACGGTGCTGGTCATTTTTATTCTCTTCTTCTTTTACTGCGCATTAACCTCTCTTCTACTCTTTTCTTTGTATTCTGTTGCTTTTACAAGCGAATGAGAGAATCACATATAACTTTATAACTTTTTCTTTTTTTTCAGAAATAGAAAGAGTGTGACCTGCTGAATGATGACGTGTGTACGAGAAGAAAAAATAAAAAAAAACGAGGAATATAAGGTTTTTTTTCTTCGTTTTATGTGCACACATATTGTACAATTAATATTAGCCAAAGACCATTAGAAGATCGAAAAGCGTGTGTGTATAGCTCAACATTAGGCCACAGCTTGTATCTTTAAAATGAATAAAAAGTTCAACAAAGTTTTTTTTTTCTTTTTTTTTTTTTTTTGAGTGAAAGTTCATATGAAAAAAAAAAAGAAGAAAAAAAATATATAATGCATACAGGTTAGTTTCATTTTTTTTAATAGAGAATAAAAAAAAAAAGGGAGAAAAGTGACAATGAAATTTACACTATATAATGGATGACTCTAAAATAATAGGGTTCTTTTACATCTTTTAGACACTAAAATAAAATCAAAAGATATCGTTCGAGTAGAAAAAAAGATAGAAAATTTCTTATTCTATAAACATCTGACAGCTTTCAGACTAAAACATTGTTTATTACAGTTTTATTTTATATGACACCGATAACGTTTTTTTTTAGCATTTTTATAGTTGATTGAACTTCATAGCAGTAGATCTAAAAGAACTGAAAGATTGTGCTATTTTAATCACATTGATTCCATGGAACAGTAATAAGCTTTTAATTTTTAAGTTTAGATCAATATCAGAAATATCACAATAAACTCTCCTGTATGATTTTACTCTTTATGATCTTTCTCTATAGGGAAATAATAATTTAGTCTAAAAGAATGATCTGGTTTTATAGAGAAAAACAAAAAAAAATTCCCCTATCTATTTTTTAATAGAACATTGTGTTCAGATTTTATTTTGGTACTTGAAAAATACAAAACAAAAGTATCTCATTATTTTGATGGTACCCGTTAGTTGCAAACGGAAGTACGTGTGAGATAGAAAAGAAAAAAGAAGTTTTGTTTTTTTAAACAAAAAAAAAACGATAATTATTGGACCTTGCCTAAAACCTCGAATTATCTTTTTACTAATAAATTTTTTCATTAAAATATGAATATATTTTCACAGAGAGTAGAGGTATGTGTGAAAATTTCAAATGTCTTCTATATAAAGTTCAACAGGAGTAACATGACTATTTATTTAAACGAGAGACAAAAAAAAAAAAGAAGAAATGATGAAAATGAGTCTTGTAATACATTATAATATTCTAGTTATAGAAGTAAATATTCTGAGTCGAGTACAAAGTACAGATTAGAAATTCTATTTATATTTATAACAATTTTTTATTTCATTTTTTTTGTTTTTTTTTTTTGTTTTTTCATGAATTTAAATTTAAATCATCTGATATTTAAGTTAGGTAAGTATAAATTAGCAAATGAAGTCAAAAAAAAATACATCAATAAAAGTTTTAATTATTAGAAATCTCAAAAATGTTTTTCTAAAATATATACTATTATTATTGTCAATTTTGTTTGATTATACACTCTCACTGACTCTTGAAGGTTGTAGAAAAGAAAAATATTTATTAAGAAAATAGAGATACCCTATGTGTATATTTTTTTCCCTCCCATTATTACAGAAATTGTATGAAGAATTGTTCATTCTACACATTCTTTCTTTTTTTTTACCTTCAAGAACGTACATATGTTATTTCTTAGAAAAATAAATATAAAATACAAACATCCATCGTTCTAGTTCGAATAATCGAGAATTAAAAATTTAAATTTATATAAAATTAAGTTCTATGATTGATTCTATATAAACATCCTTTTTTTATTTTTTATTTGAAAAGGAAAAAAAGAAAAACAAAAAAAAAGAAGATTTTCTTGATTGTTCTTACGTTGTCAATTTTGCAAACATATTTGAGTATATTTGTATCATGTTTAATTGGAATATACTACTATTTGAAAGAAAGTTGAACAGCTATAAATAGTGATAGTAGATGTGTTCAATTGCTTGTTTTATCTTAATTTAAAAATATAAAATAAAATAAAATTTTTTTTTTTTTTTTTTTTTTTTTAATTTTTTGGTTTTTTTTTTTTTTTTTTGTTTTTTTTTTTTTTATTTTTTTTGGTGGTGTTGTAGTTATTTTTTTTTTTTTTTTGTTT